TGCTAAAGAGATCCAGTGGGCATCCTCAACAGAGCACATGGCTTTAATTATCCACCTAATGAGCATCGCGACACTCTTGCGCTGAGGGTCAACCAGACCAAGGCCCCCCTCAGACTTAGGAAAGCACAACTGATACCAAGCAACCTTAGATAGGAAGCCTTCCCCTTCTTTGCCGGAGGGCTTCCAGATAAACCTTGCTGATCGTCTTCTTACCAGGGTGCACAGGTTGTTGCCCAGGGGTCTAACAGCAGCAACAAACCATAACAGCACGAAAAAGGCACAATTCACAACCATAGCTCTACCAAAAATTGAAAGATGCTGAGCCTTACCCCAACTGGAGACTCGCTGTAAGGTTCGTTGTAATAAAATATTTTCCTGATCGACTGTGCAAGAAAGCAAAGTCACCTGAACCCCCAAGAACCTCTCAGACTCCCCTGCATTTATTCGTTTCATACCCCAATTCACTACCGGAGCATGCGACGAGGGCAGGAAAAAAACAGACTTCGACCAGTTCACAGATGCTTCTGACAACTTTGAATATTCGTCCGAACATGATTTTAAAGTTACCATTGACGATTCAGTGTTCTCTGAAATTGCGAACAGGTCATCAGGAAGAGCCTTAACTTTGCATTGGGAGCTACCTGCTTTTAGACCTCTGATTTCCGGCTTTGTCCTTATATTGCAAAGGAGGTTCTCCATTTGCAGAACAAACAAAAGAGGGCCCAGGGGACAACCCTGACGTAATGATCTAGTTAAGGCAAAGGATTCCGAAATATTGCCATTAACCATCACCGCCGCAGTTGACTTCGAATACAGTGCAGTCACCCACTTACACAGGTTTTCTCCAAAGCCCAAGTGTTTAAGAGTTGACAGAACATAAGTCCAGTTTACGTGATCATAGGCTTTTTCAAGATCCAACATAAGTATCATGGTATCTGCAGCTGAGCGCTCTACTACTTCCAGGGATTCAATAGCCGCTACTATATTCTCAAATATAGAACGGCCTTGTACAAAGGCCGCTTGGTCTTCGTTCACCGGAACAGGTAAATAACTGCCTAGCCTCCTTGCCAACACTTTGGCCAGGAGTTTGTATGAAACGTTCAAAACAGAAATTGGTCTCCAATTTCTTATTTACGACCGATCATCTTTTTTATACAACAAGGATATTATCCCATTACTCATTTCTTTCGACAGGTGATTACCTGTTACGACCTGGTTATGAATATCGACGAGTTCTTCTTTAATTGTATCCTAGATCAAGACGTAGAGCTCCACGGGGAGGTCGTCGTCGCCTGGGGCTTTCCCTTTCGCCATAGAGCCAAGGGCTTCCCAGGCTTCTTCCACAGTTATCGGGCGGTCCAAATCCAACCTGCCTTGTGTGGAGATTCTAGCAGTAAATGAGGACCAATGGTTAGAGTCCACAGTAAGGTCCGTATTGATATCCTCATACGGCCTTCTAGTCGTGAGAATATCCTGGTAATACATAGCTGCATAGGTACACAACTCAGTCTGATCGCATGCTACCGGGAGATCCATGTCAAACGGGTGCATCAGTTGACTCATAGGGTGTGATAGACGTTTAGGGAGCAGTTTTTGGAAAGACTCACTAGTCATCCGATCATGAACCTCTATCCCCTTAACCTTCAGACGCTCTGCCCATAGTTCAGATTGTTCCTGCTGATAGGAGTCCCACTCAGCCATCCATTTTTTCCTCACCGGACTCCATACCAGGTTTGAGATAGGGTGGAGGTTCATTCTCATTTCCGCATACTCAATCTTTTTAATCATATTCCGTTCCTGGTTCTTCCGCCCAACTGCCAAGATTCGTGAAAAAAAATTTAGATGGCTCGAAAAAATACGAGAACCAGCATCCCACCAGTCTGCCTTTGAGGTGAAAGAATCTACGTTTTTTTTCCATTCGCTCCAAAATCTTTCCATCCAGTCGACTACCCCAGGATCTTTAAGTATCTGCGTATTAACCCTAAAGTAACCCCGACCCCTCTCCGGTTTCAAAGAGTTAAAACTCGCC